CCTCTCTCTCTCTCTCTCTCTCTCTCTCTATATATATATATATATATATATATATATATTCTACAATAAAGGGGGAAAAAGGAAAACAAAAAGAAAAATAGTGAAAGGAAGAGGGTTAAAGCTAAATATAAATCAACTTTATAGCTTTTCATTATATATATATATATATATATATATTTTGTTTAGGTTGCCATATATGGGGAATTATTTGGACCGGAGTCGTGCGTGGGTAATGTAAAAATCAAATAAAAACTCGTGTATTTCATTCATTATCAGCGTAATATGTGTTATGGAAAGAAAGGAATAACATACCACATCGTTCAGATTTTCCACCGGTGCTGAGGGTATCGATCGATGTCGTGGTCCGACGGGAATAATATATTTACATTGGATTAAAAAATAAATTCAATTTTTTTTAATCATAAATATTTATTTTCTCAATTTCGCTATACGGTGTTGATGGTAACGGTTATAACATTCTATGTTCATTTATAAATAAATATAGGACACCCATAAGGCAATGCCGTTGATTTCAGATGGGAAAAATCAGAAAACTTTATCATGCCCATTCACATGGAAAACAAAAACTTATATAACTTATATGTCACGCAAAGTTAAAATCTTAGGAAGAAACTAAATGAATTGGGCCAACCATAGGTTATAATGGAAGTGATACTAAAGCTTTTTACCCAGGAAACATTAATTTATTTTTATAACCAGCCACTGCTCCGTAGTTGTGGATGGCATGGTGCGGTAAAATAAAAGAAAATAGAAAATGTATATAGAGACAGTGAAGGGGAATAGCAGATATATATAAAAAATTATTAAATATGTAAAAGGAGGATAGAAACAAGGATTTAATTATTAGGTTAACCATAGTTTAAGCAACCTAATAAAACGAGACATAATTAGGTGAGTGATTTGAGAGGTGCGACGTACCACGTGGGTGTATAGTCCATGGTCTGATGAAACCTAAACACGATGATGTGTCTCCGATTGAAGTTTGTGATTAGAAACTAGTAATAATAACTTGGTGAGGTATATCATACATAATTAACACAGTGAAAACAATATCGTATATGCTATAATTTTTCAAAAATATATAAGCCGGTTTTTATGGATTCGAATACTATATACATGTTTCTATCAATATAACCAAAACTTTGACCATAACATATACGTACACATGCGTATTATATTGTAATCCATATCTAATAATATCACGGTTATCTTCTTTTCAAAATTCCAGAATAGGGCTACTGTTCAAGATTCTCTCTGTTTATTCAATTATAACCATACAACATAATCTTTTTTTCCAGCTATATATTCGTGTATTTTCCAAGTTTTCACTGGTTTTCATAATATCCTGACTCGGTCAAAGGCTGTGCCCAAGGCTTTTACACCTATTGCTACGCGCATTTGTTTGTCACCCATAGTCCCATACCGTATAAATGCATGTACGTACGTATGCGCATATACACACACACATATATATATATATAGAGAGAGAGAGAGAGGGAAAGATCGTACGTGTATAGGTGAAGTTGAGTATGCAGCCCCTCGTTTGAGATATGTACAAAGCAAACGTTTAAGAAAATGATATTATTATTGGAGTTTGATGTGGTTTTAGTTAATTAAATACCAAGATACCGTAACCTCATTATATTCATGAAGAAAAATGAAAACATAATGTAAAACTAAAATAACGTGTAAAGTATAATACTTTGTAATATATTATATTTATGTGATTAATGATCATGCACAAATCTGTCAAAGCTCCTTATCTTTTTAATTATTACGAATAAATAAAACAGTGAGAGAGAGGAGCGAAGGTTGTATCCTCTTTCCTATATACCAACAACTCTTACCCAAGTTTCGTCAGCTTAGCCACTATAATCATTTCACCGTAGAATATTTCGGCCCTATATATCTATATTGTATACAACTTTATGAATTAAGTAAAAGAAAATATAATTTAATTACATGAACCCGTGAATTATAAAATACTTATTTTATATCGATATATATATATATATATATATATTTGGTGTCCAGTTATTTTATGGATTAATATAATAAATAAATCAAATCTTAGATGCCGCCAATATGCTATTGTAGATTGCGTAATAAGTTGGTTATGTTTATATATGCAGCTTTCTAGAAGAACTCTTTATGCCTTTTTGTTTATCATATGCCACTAGTTGTACATATTCGGTTGATGGAATTTAATAGATCGATGCACCTAAGAGAAACCAGTCTTATTGCGAACAAGAAATGTAGCTAGAGAGAGAGAGAGAGAGAAAGAAATAACCCTCTCTCTAAATTCTCTGTTATCCTTTTTATTTGTTGGTCTATACATCTCTCTTTTTTGTACATATATACAGCAAGCGAAAATAAATAAATACTAACCCTAGTTTAACACATCTCTCTCTCTCTCTCTCTCTCTCTCTCTCTATATATATATATATATATATATATATATATTCTACAATAAAGGGGGAAAAAGGAAAACAAAAAGAAAAATAGTGAAAGGAAGAGGGTTAAAGCTAAATATAAATCAACTTTATAGCTTTTCATGGGTTTCTCTCCTGCAACCATCAATTCCTTTCACATTCGATACTCTGCGTTTCTTTAATCTGTAAGCAAAAAAAAAAAAACAGAAGCTCACCTCCACGCTCCCCCCCCCCTCTCTCTCTCCGTGCCATGGATTCCGGCAACAGTAGTAGCATGCAGTCCTCAAGCGGTGGCGGTGAAGATGAGTACGACTCACGTGCCGATCATTCCATCTCTACCTTCTTCAACCACCACAGCTCTGCCGCCGCAAGGAGTGCGGCACCTCCGGGGACCCTTTATCACCACCGCCAAGACAACATCGGTGGCCCGATTCCGGACCATTATCCACCGCAGCAACACCTAGACCCTCTTTTATCAAACTACTTCACCAACCTTGATACTACTGTTTGGTCGTCGAAGACCGTACGTTCTGGCCCCGATCTCGCTGGATCACCTTCCGAACCGGTCTTCTTCTCAAATTCAACTTCGTTGCCGCGCCCGAGACCAAACAGCAGCTCTGGTTCTGTCCCTGGCGGCGGCGACAACAACAAGAACGGTAATAATAATAACAATATGGCGCGGAACCCGAAGAAGCGATCGAGAGCCTCGAGACGAGCGCCGACGACGGTGTTGACCACCGACACGACCAACTTCAGAGCCATGGTTCAGGAGTTCACGGGAATCCCTGCTCCTCCCTTTACCGGATCTTCTCCCTTTCCTCGGACCGGTCGGTTTGATCTATTCGGATTTTCCCCTAATTCCTCGTTTCCATTAAAACCCTTTGCTCAGAAACTCGTCCCTCCATTGTTTCTTTCTTCTTCATCATCTCCTTCCACTGCTACAATCGCTTCTTCTTCTTCACCTTCGTCTTCGAGTTACTATCTGCCTTCTGCAGACAATCAGAATCTCTTGAACACGAGTACGAACACCCAGGGTATTACAAACCCTTTTCTTAATATTCACGCTCCTAAAGACCCTTTAACCGATCCATCGATATTCTCAGCAAAGTCGAAACCTTTGTTCGACCAATCATCTCAGAACTTCAAGGTGGGTAATGTTCTGGATGAGCTGGGGCAATTCGGGACAAACTTTGGCGGACTTCAGAGCATTTTCTCCTCTTCATCGACGTCAACCCTAATGCACATAAACAGGAACTCTGACGCCGGAAACGTCGAAGCTGATCTATTGAGGTCCATCAATGGAGGGTTCGATGAATCTGCACACCGACCTCCGAGTTACAGAGCCACCGGGACAGCGACGGCGACGGCGGCTTCTTCTGGATCATTACCGGCGGCGGAGAATAGTTTAGCGGCGGCGAGAAACGAAGGTATGGTGGAGTCGTGGATTTGTTCATCTGATTAGGTTTATCTAGCATGCATATAAATATATTGGTATATTTATCATCAAAACATAATGAAAAAAAACCCTAGAGCGAGAGGATTTAAAGGAAGTGTTAGTGCACTGAAGATATGGAGTCCTTTTATGTCTCAGCTTCAACAGTCTAACCGTGTGACCTTCTGCGTAATCAAACACTGTCTTTATCTTAAATTTTAATTATTTAATCTTCGTTTTCGGTTTGATTTTTTTTTCTTTCTCTTCTGGGTGTATATTTACATAGACCTAGCTAAGAACATACATACTGATATGACACGATTGGCTCTTAAGTGTCACATTATATTGTATCTTCATGTGTGTGGTGATCATTTTTCATCATGTTAAAATAGAAATTATCGTGGTTAAATTTTCTCGTTTAATTCGTCTAGTAATATGTACGGGACATTGCTAATTGTAATTGGTATACGCATGTTTTTTGTGTGTAGACGATAAACTTAATTAAAAATGGGTATGCATGGTTACGGTTTTATATATACATGTACTTATATTCCGTGTGGATACATTCTGTGACATTGCATCACCCTTTTTATTATGGATTTGTGTATCTCCTCTACACATTATGCTATTTTTTTGGGGTAATTTCGGATATACATTATTGGTTATATATGTCATATGATATAAAGTTCGTTCACACACGTTGTTTGCTCCACAGTCACGTAATAAGAGCGGGAGTAGAGTGTTTAGCTCGCGTAATTTGCCTAATATGTCATGGGCATTTTTACTATTTGCACGATTTAAAAAAATAAATATGTTATTATTCATCTATTTATCAACTGTAGTAGATACAATTATTATTAATATTGAACAAGAGTATTGTAAGATAGTGTCGACATTACTTTACAGCCGGATCTCAATTTCCAGATTTTTTAAAGACAATCTTAACTTTTAATTAGCCGGATCTCAATTTCCAGACTTTTCTAAGATAATCTCGACACAAATCAGCACGCAAAATGGGAAATTTTCAATGTTATATGTTATATTTTTATTTGTTCCGATATATATATATATATATATACGAGGGGGGAGTGATTGGTGGCGAGACATGGGGAATCGTCGTTAGCTTCCGCGTATCTTAAAACTCATCATATGTTTTTGGAATTTATAGCCCCTCTTCCCTTCCACTCGCCTCTTAAATTTCTTCTAAAATATTCAGATAAAAATAAATTTTCAGAAATTACGAAAAAATTACACAACTTTATAATTTTCAAATAAGTAGATGGATTGTTTTCCGAATTCCCAAATAAATACATAAAGTTCATAAAATTTATATGTTTTTTTTCCTGAAATCCCATTTTAATTACTTTTCAGTTTTGAAGTATTATTATTATCTTCTGATTAACCTTTAATAAGGTTCGGGCAATAAAAAGATTTAACTTCGATTTGGGTGAAGAGATTCAAATTAAATAGGCCACAACCAAATAAGAAAGCCAACTCGGAACATAGTCTGAATATTATAAGTTTCAATATTCAAATGTTGCCAATTTTACGCCTCATTATTCATTATTTGGCTACGAAAAAAAAATTAAAAAAACAAAAAAAAAATCGAGTGCCGTTATTTTCAACGAGTTAGACGGTAATGTCCTTAACATTACTTATAGGCCAGGCTTAAATTTTAGGTGACGTTGTTATAAAATCCCGTATCTAATGGTAGATGGCTAGTTTCACCAGTCTATTTCAATCTCCAACACGTACATATATATATATATATATATATAGCTTATCTCTTCATTGGTTTTAGTATTATTCTGCGTAGTAATATTGACTTATAACATTATTTTTATATATGTTGTATATTTAAGTGTCCTATTGCGTCTAAAGTCTGCGTGTATGAATCGGGTTTTGCTCTTTCATATATTGCAATAATAATATATACTGTTTCTAATGTTGATTCGTAGAGGGTTTAATATATCTGCATAGACAAATAGGTTACAGGGTGGTTAGTGTAAAAAAAAAAGATTAATAACAAAGGGCTCAAGGAGACAAAATTTTCAGTAAGATATGCTATTTGACTAATTAAACTCTTGAAAATTATTTAATTTGAACATATATTATAAAAAATATATAAGATAAGGTCGGAAGATGGATCATGTAACATTTAATTTAGTCATTGTTATTACCAGTTCATCCATATCTTTCACTTCACTGTGTATATATATTTTCCACTTCATTTGATAGCAAGCGTATTGTTTAAACGCGATCACTCCTTTTCAGATATAACTTATATTTTCTCGTATTTATGTATATATATATAATATTCATATGCAATTTTGCAAATTCACTATGGAAGAAAATGATGATGATCCGACATTGCTTCATCATGAAACAATACCCATCTTTCCCGCCAAACATGTCGATGTCAACATGATGTCAGTTGTTTAATTAATAACAAAAGGGAAAAAATGACGAAAATAAGCAAAAAAAATAAAAAATACTCGAGTCTCAAGTCCTCAGAAGCGTGAAACGACGACGTTTGGGCAAAATGAGTAATAACTATAATAATAATAATAATAATTTATTTTTTTACAACAAGAAGAACCCTTCTGATTGATATATCATTGATCTTTTTTCACTTCAATAATTCAAAATCTCTGCTTTTTCTTCTCTTTTTCTCAAATAAGCTTTTTTACAAATAGTTCCACACAGACAAAAAATAATAAAGTTGATCAAAAAGAAAAAATCTCTCTTTTCGAATATAAATAATTTTAATTTAAGATAAAAATGAATAAAACATGAAATTTCGTGACGCAGAGAATCTATGAAAATTACAAATCCAAATGATTAGCAAAAGGATTTTTGGGCAGATTCAGGGGCAAAACATTTTTACTTGGAGGAGAGAGAGTGATAATTTTTTTTTTTTTTAAATTTGTCATCATTTTAAAACCCACTTGGAACAAAAGGGCTTTCGTCCTTTTGCAATGATGCTCCCCATGCCTCCCCCCTCGACATAACTCTCCACAGTGTTTCTAATGTAACACTTTACAAATACGACACACACATAAACACGTGTATGTGTGTGTGTATATATATATGTATATCTTCAACTGGTTGTCCTAAGATCGCATACCCCAAATATCCATTAATTAAATTTTCATAATATATATAGAATTAAGAAAGTTAGTTTTAAGAAGAAAAAACGTTTTATAATACAAATTTCTGCAACTTATTATGATGCATGACAAGATAGCACACGCCTTTTTTTTTGCCCTTTGCCATACCCCACTATTTTCACAATGAATTTATGAATCTTTCATGAAATTGAAAAAGGTACCAACCTTTTGCTTCATTGCCATAAACAATATAAAAAAATACACGCACACGTACACACTATATAGATAGCAAGCCCTAATAACATCGATTCACGAAGGGAGAAAAAATATATCATGCACGTGTTTCGAGCACATGCAACCAAATGTGTATATATATATATATATAGATATTAGTTGATACTAATATGTGAATATATAAAAATATGGACGTTTGGAGAAAGGTATTAGGTTTATTGGGATTTAACGGGACCATTAGTTGTCGGATAGATCCGCATAAAATTGGACAATCATAACATAACCCTAAAGTATTGAGAAAGGTCAACTCCTATATATTTATTAAATTAATTATGGTGATTGGACGAGAGAAACCTAAATAATATAATTGCATAATAAAATGTACCCCGTGATTATAAGCGATACACCGGAGTTAATATACATGTAACGTATGGGATATATATATATATATATATATATATATA